TCCTTCCTTCCTCCCTCCCTCCATCCCTTCATTCCTTCCTCCCTCCCTTCCTTCCTCCCTTTCCTCCCTCCCTCCCTTTCCTCCCTCCCTCCCTTCCTTCCTTCCTTCCTTCCTGAACTTCATAACCTGTTTTGTTAAAAAAAAAAAAAACCTAACTGCCAAGGATGAAAGAAGGGTTTTTTTGTTTTTGCCTCCTCTGCTTCTATTGTAATCCCACCCTCATTAAGAAAAACGGATTCTCCTGTTCCTGGCAATCGAGAAAGAGGGATTCTTGCCTTATTCAGACTAATGCTATTAAAATCAGCCCATTTAAAAAGAGGCTAAATAGCAGAGAAGTGCCCCAAAATAGCAGCGTCCCTGTTCCAGGTGTTTCAGAGGGGCTCCAAAAAAGGGGAAAAAGTAGCATTTACGGGGAAATTAACTTATTATAAAAAAAAAACCCCTTATGTACGAAAGCAGCTAATGTATTTTGTACAGAATCGCTTCATTTTCCTAACACTCCAGGATGATAAATGTAGGAACAAAAGTCTCGTACAAAACTCATTATTTGCTCATTTTGCCGTATCCCTCATTGTAAATTACCACTCTGAAACTCATGGTTTCACCGTGTAGGAAAGAGAAAACGACCTGGAGAAGAAAGGAAGGCTAGTCCAATAAAATGTTTGTGTGTGTGTGTGTGTGTGTATGTGTGTGTAAAATCCCCCTTTCCCCAATCACGGAATCGAAGCCAGGCACAACAAGCTCAAAAAAAGAGTGAGGTTTTAATCACATGCTTGCACCCATCATCTTTACCCCCCCTCCTCCCAAGGATGGCCGGTAGCAGATCCTGGCTGGACTAGATGACCTTTAACGTCTCCTCCAACTCTATGATTCTAGGATGACAGGTAGTCCTTGACCTTTTGGGGGGGGGGGTTCAGGTCAGAAGCAGCGAGGCTTCCGGGTCAGAAGCAACGAGGCTTCCGGGTCAGAAGCACTGAGGTTTCCGGGTCAGCACTGAGGCTTCCGGCTCAGAAGTACCGAGGCTTCTGGGTCAAAACGCCAAGGCTTCCGGGTCAGAAGCACCGAGGCTTCCGGGTCAGAAGCACCGAGGCTTCCGGGTCAGAAGCACCGAGGCTTCCGGGTCCGAAGCAACGAGGCTTCCGGGTCAGAAGCACTGAGGCTTCTGGGTCAAAACGCCAAGGCTTCCGGCTCAGAAGCACCGAGGCTTCCGGCTCAGAAGCACTGAGGCTTCTGGGTCAAAACACCAAGGCTTCCGGCTCAGAAGCACCGAGGCTTCTGGGTCCGAAGCACCGAGGCTTCCGGGTCAGAAGCACTGAGGCTTCCGGCTCAGAAGCACTGAGGCTTCTGGGTCAAAACACCAAGGCTTCCGGCTCAGAAGCACCGAGGCTTCTGGGTCCGAAGCACCGAGGCTTCCGGGTCAGAAGCACTGAGGCTTCCGGCTCAGAAGCACTGAGGCTTCTGGGTCAAAACACCAAGGCTTCCGGCTCAGAAGCACTGAGGCTTCTGGGTCCGAAGCACCGAGGCTTCCGGGTCAGAAGCACTGAGGCTTCCGGCTCAGAAGCACCGAGGCTTCTGGGTCAAAACGCCAAGGCTTCTGGCTCGAAAGGATTAGCCGGGGACATCACCGTCACCCTGGGGATACCCAGCTGGGGACTCTTTCCATGTCCCTGCAGGAGCTGGAGGGAAGGATGAGAGCTCAACCCTGCCCCATGGCAACTCTTGGGTCTTGAATGCAGGCTTACTATAACCTCCTGCCCAGCGTTCTAGCCATTCGAGCCACCGTGCTCCTTGGTAGTCCTTGACTAAACAACGGTCATAAAATGAGGTTGCGTAGGCGATGACCAGGCTGAGCCCAAGGGAGGGGTCGAATGCGTCATAAGTCAGGAGCCCCCGCTCGCTCGCAAGAGATCTCAGTCCAGCCCGCCTCGAATGCCTGTCTTATCTCCCACTCATTTCCCTTGACTGTTAGTTGGCCAGATTCTTGGATTAATGTCAGGAGATTCGGGCAGTTCAAAAGACCATAAACACGTATTGCAAGCGTAAACGCTCTACAACCGTGATGGCGAACCTTTTAGAGACCGAGTGCCCAAACTGCAACCTCAAACCCACTTATTTATCGCCGGGGGCGAGGTGGGCGTGGCCCACTGGATGGGCGTGGCTGTGGTCATGGCAGATTGGGTGGGTGTGGCCAAGGTGGGCATGGTCACCTCAATGTTGCTCATGGGGAGGGATGCCTGTGGGGGGTGGGCAGGGTTGGGGGGATCCAGGGGGTCTCTGGCAGGTGCGGTGGTAGGCAGGAGGCTCGTCCTGCGGGGTGAGGCGAGGCAGGGCGGCTGCTGCCTGACACCATCGGCCCCCGCACATAGAGGCCAGCGAGAGCATGGGGGCCAATGGTGTCCGTCAACAGCCACAGCCTGCCGGCCCCTTGACCGGTGCACTCTGGGGCTCCGCAGCCCGTCCCCAGAAGTTCAGAGAAGCCGCCTCTGAGCTGGACAGATGGCCAAAACTGAGGAGGCGATGCAATGGGTCGTGCCTGGGAAAAGGAGAGCATGCGAGGCCAGGAGGGACGGGACGGGAGGGGGGGAGGACAACCAGCCGTGCCAGGTTGCATCCGGCCACGTGGGACCTCGGTGAGTTAGCGGGCGGCTGGTTGAAGAGGAACAGTTGCCATCTCCGGGGCATGGCGCGCGTGCCCACAGAGAGGGCTCTGAGTGCCACCTCTGGCACGCGTGCCATAGGTTTGCCACCACTGTTATAGACGCTCACAAACGCAGACAGGCAACAAGAGCAGGACAGAGGGAGGCGATGGGGCCACTCCAAGGGAGGAGGAGAAGGCATTGAGAAGCCACGCCTGGGGAGGGGCTGCATAATGAAAAGGGAAGGTGTGGGCGGTGCTGGTTGCTGAAGGCAACCGTTTGCAAAGGACTCAAGTGTCATGGAATCCTGTTTTCTTCGCCTTGCTTGTGAACAATTCTCCGTTTGAATCCTGTTTTGTTTGCCTTGCTTGTGAAAGTTCTCCGCTTGCATTGTGGTTTTTTTGCCTTTGCTTTTGGGACATTTTGCAGGTCTGTACCCAACTAATAAAATGGGTTTGTTTTCCCTGCATTTCCAGCCTACTTGTTAAAAGAGGGGTTGGTCCTTGTGAGTTAACAAGGACTCACGTAGGCTGGGACACAACAAATCTTCCCAGCTGGCTTCCGGCGAGCAAAATCAATGGGGGGGGGGGAAGCCAGACTCGCTTAACGGCCGAATGAATCCCTGAATCACGACTGCAGTGAATGAATGAATCACGACCGCAGTGATTTGCTTAACAATGTGGCAAGGAAGTCATAAAATAGAGCAAGACCTCGCTGAACAACGTTCTGGCTTCGCAACCATAAATTTTGGGCCCAACCGCGGTCGTAGGTTGAGGACTACGTGCATAAGCTTCTTCGGGGGCCACGCCCCTTACCACATTGCTGTCTCTTCCCCTTGCACTTCTCCTCAGCGGCCTGGGCACAAGCTGCTGGGCTGGGCGACCGGGCGCACGGCTGCGCATAGAAGGCGCATAAGCGACGGACTTCTGCCAGCTGTTTGTCTCCCGGGATCCGAGCGGCAGCCAGCCACTCTGAACAGCTGGCCTCTCGGCTGGAGGGAGATCCTGAGCAGGAGAGGAGAGCAGTTGGGGGGGGGGGGAGGCAGAAAACCTATTTAAAACTTGAAAATTATAAATATTAAATTTAAACATTAACGGGAAACTAAAAACTGGGGAAAAAACTAATTAGGACATTGATTGTCTGTAAAGATTGACTGTTAAAACAACTAGGGTATGTGTAAAGTAAAAATTACTGACAAACATGAGAAAGTTATTTTTATTTAGTCGATATAATAAGTGTACTAGTTTAAATATGAGACAGTAAATACTAAGGGGGAAAAGAGAGGAAATATTTAATGTCAGAGTTTGAGATCTGTACTAAAAAATACTTGTATGTTGTTGCATTGTCGATTAACTCAGCCGCCACGTTGCTTTTTAAGTATTTAAATGTAAAACTAGAAAATCAATAACATTTTCTTTAAACAAAAAACAAAAAACTTCCCCATTAGCAGTTCCTGAACCACAGGCAGGATCTCACGTTCCATGAGAATGTGCCTGCAAAATTTGGTTCATAGCAATAGCATTTAGACTTATATATCGCTTTATAGCGCCCCCTCTAAGCACTTTAAAGGGTCAGCATATTGCCTCCCCCAAAACCATCTGGGTCCTCATTTTACCGACCTCGGAAGGAAGGAAGGAAGAAAGGTTGAGTCAGTCTTGAGCCAGTGGGAATCGAACTGCTGGCAGTGGGCAGAATTAGCCTGCCGTACTGCATTCTAACCACTGCGCCACCACGGCTCATGGGGTTTGGCTAAGCTAGGTTTGGGTCTTTGCAAGCTGTGTCAGTCCAGGTCGGTGTTTCCCAACCTTGTCAAGTTTAAGATGGGTGGACTTCAACTCCCAGAATTCCCCAGCCAGTCCTCTCTAACAAAATGAAATCCAATGGTGAGAAAAATAAGATTTTACACTTAGGCAAGAAAAAACAAATGCACGGGTACAGAATGGGTGGTACCTGGGACTCAATAGTAGTAACTACGAGACGGATCTCGGAGTCCTACTGGACAATCCCTTAAACAGGAGCCAGCCGTGTGCTGCAGCTGCCAAAAAAGCCAACACAGTGCTAGGTTGCATGAACAGAGGGAGAGAATCAAGATCACCTGAAGGGTTAATACCACTTTACAATGCCTTGGTAAGGCCACACTTGGAATACGGCATCCAGTTTTGGTCACCAGGATGTAAAAAAGATGTTGAGACTCTAGAAAGAGTGCAGAGAAGAGCAACAAAGATGATTAGGGGACTGGAGGCTAAAACATACGAAGAACGGTTGTTGGAATTGGGAATGTCTAGTTTAACGAAGAGAAGGACGAGGGGGGACATGATAGCAGTCTTCCAGGATCTCAGTGGCTGCCCCAAAGAAGAGGGAGTCAAGCTCTTCTCCAAAGCGCCTGAAGGCAGGACAAGAAGCAACGGATGGAAACTAATCAAGGAGAGAAGCAACCTAGAACTAAGGAGAAATTTCCTGACAGTTAGAACAATTAACCAGTGGAACAACCTGCCTCCAGAAGTTGTGGGTTCTCCAACACTGGAAGTTTTTAAGAAGAGACTGGACAGCCATTTGTCTGAAATGGTATAGGGTCTCCTGCCTGAGCAAGGGGTTGGACTACATGACCTCCAAGGACCCTTCCAGCTCTATTCTGATTGATCGATCGATTGAAGTTGTGAATATTCCAACGCTGGAAGTTTTTAAGAAGAGACTGGACAGCCATTTGTCTGAAATGGTATAGGGTTTCCTGCCTGAGCAGGGGGGTTGGGCTAGAAGACCTCCAAGGTCCCTTCCAACCCTGTTATTCTGTTATTCTGGGGAATTCTGGGAGTTGAAGTCCACTCATCTGAAACTTGCCAAGATTGAGACACACGGATCCAACCCTTTGGTCTATTCTGCCCCCTGCTGGTGAGGCTGGAGAAAGGCAGCCCCTGGCACTCACTCTCCATCTGCTGTCGGATCCAGTCTGCAAAGGCAGTGATGCGAGTGTACACCCCCGGTTTCCCACGCTCCCCGCAGCCAGAGCCCCAGGAGGTGATTCCGTGCAAGACGTAGCGCTCCAGCAAAGGGTCCCAGCACATGAGGGGCCCTCCCGAGTCCCCCTGAAAGGAGAAATGGTTGCAAGTCCAAAGCAGAAGGCAAAGGGAGCTGTGTCCCAAGAATTAATCCCACATTGTATGAATAAATGCTATCAGGGAGAGGAGACTCACATCCAACCATCTTTTGGGGTCACCAGAGTCAATGAAGGTCAAGGGACCAACTACAAGTACAGTTGTACAACACCCCCCCCACACCCAAAGTGACTTTTCAGAGAGAAGAGAAAGAGGAAAGAGGAGAGAGAGGAGAGAGAGAGAAGAGAGAAGAAGAGACGAAAGAGAGGAGAGGAGAGGAGAGAGAAAAAAGAGAGAAGAGAGAGAAGAGAGAAGAGAAAGAAGAAAGAAGAGAGGAGAAAGAGGAGAGAGAAGAGAGAAAGAAGAGAGAAGAGAGAGAAGAGAGAGAAGAGAGAAGAGAGAGAAAGAAGAGATAAGAGAGAGGAGAAAGAAGAGAAAGAAGAGAGAAAGAAGAGAGAAGAGGGAGAGAAAGAAGAGAAGAGAGAGAGGACAGAGGAGAAAGAGGAGAGAGAAAAAAGAGAGGAGAGAGAAGAGAAAAAGAAGAGAGAGAGAAAAGAGAAAAAGAAGAGAGAGAAAGAACAGAGGAGAAAGGAGAGAGGAGAGAGAAGAGAGAGAGAGAAAAAAGAGAAGAGAGAGAGAGGAGAGGACAGAGGAGAGAGAGGGGAGAGAGAGAAAAGAGAAGAGAGAGACGAGAGAAAGAGGAGAGAAAAGAGAGAGAGGAGAGAGAAGAGAGAGAGAAAAGAGAAGAGAGAGAAGAGAGAAGAGAGAGAAAGAGGAGAGAGAAGAGAGAAGAGAGAAAGAAGAGAGAAGAGAGAGAAGAGAAAGAAAGAAGAGGAGAGAGAGGAGAAAGAGGAGAGAGGAGAAAGAGGGGAGAGAGAGGAGAGAGGAGACAGAAAGAAGAAAGAGGAGAGAGAAGAGAGGAGAGAAAGAAGAGAGAAGAGAGAGAGAAAGAGGAGAAAGAGAAAAGAGAGAGAGGAGAGAGGAGAGAGAGAAAACAGAAGAAGAGAGAGAGAGAGAGAGGAGAGAGAGAATGTGACCACCTTCTGCAACCTGACACAGTTGATGGGAAGCCAGATTCGCTTAACAACCCTGTTTACTAAATTAGCAACTTCAGCGATTCACTTAAAATGGGGGGGGGGACTCACTTCACCAATGTTTCGTGTCACAGGAGAAATTTGGGGTTCAATTGTGGTCGTATGTTGAGGACCCCCTGTGCAGCACCTTTACCCCTGCACCCAGCAGCCATCCCCAGGCAGGGAGTGGCCTCACGTCCCTTACCTGCAGTCACCCCTCGCTCCAGGACCCTCACCTGACACGAGTCGATGCCGCCAGAGAGGTACCCAGCGCAGAACATGGCGCTGCTCACCAGCTGGCTCCCTAGAGCCGCACGGCACAGGTCTTGTGCCAGGATCGGCACCCGAGCTTCCATCACCACCTCAGCAGGTGGCCCGTCTAGGAGAGAAGCAGATGGAAGCATGAATGGCCTACACCGCCGTTCTGCCGGTTTCCTCCCCCTTGGCAGGTGAGATGCGACAGGTAACTGGGCCCCAGGTGAGACGCTGCAAGAGGACAATGTCAGCTCTTCCTCCTCCTCCTCCTCCTCTGATCCAGGTCCGGTTTTGATGAGCAGCCCGAGAAGTTGCAGATCACTGATAAAGATCGACGGAGATTCCCAGTCATCCAGGTCAAGGTTGTCCCAAAGGTGCCTTTTCATAAGACAACTGGACTTTTCTTTGTTTTTCTTTGAAGTCTTTTCGCTTCTCCTTCCAGAAGCTTCTTCAACTCTGACTGGACGGTGAGGAATGGAAGAATTTATAGGCCTTGCAGACCGCTGGTCATTTGCATTCTTTTAGAGAGTCGTTGAGGCCACTTGGAGGTTTGTCTGCGTCCTCAGGGTCACCTGAGTGGTACAAATGGGTACGGAGCCTTCTTGAGACTGCTGAAAGGATCGTGCTGTAGACTGGAGATAGATGGTGTCGTATCTCTCCCCTTCTGTTGAGAGAGGGCTGTTCAGTTTGGACATAGATGGCCTCCAAGTGGCTTCAACGACCCTCTGAAAGAATGTAAATGACCAGCAGTCTGCAAGGAATATAAAGAAGCAAGGAAGCTTCTTCAACTCTGACTGGATGGTGGGGAATAGAAGGAGTTATACTCCTTGCAGACAGCTGGTCATTTGCCTTCTTTTAGAGCGTCGTTGAGGCCACTTGGAGGTTTATCTGTGTCCTCAGGGTCACCTGAGTGGTGCAAATGGGTGTGGAGCCTTCTTGGGACTGCTGAAAGGACCGTGTTGTAGACTGGAGATAGATGGTGTTGTATCCCTCCCCCTCTGTTGAGGAGGGCTGTTCAGTTTGGACATAGATGGCCTCCAAGTGGCCTCAATGACCCTCTAAAAGGATGCAAATGACTAGCAGTCTGCAAGGCGTATAAATCCTTCCATTCCCCACCATCCAGTCAGAGCTGAAGAAGCTTCTGGGATGAGAAGCGAAACATCCTCAGGGAAAAACAAGGAAGTTCCGTTGCCTCCTGAAAAAGCATCTTTGGGACGACTCTCATAAATATGAATCGCTTGCCAAGCGTCTACATTTTGAACATGTGTCCCTGGGAATGCTGCAATGGTCATAAGGGTGAAAAATAGGCACGCTACTTTTTCAAGTGCCGTTGTAACTTAAAATGGTCCCTGGTTGTAAGTCAAGGACGACCTGTACATAAGTAGAATTTAATAGATTTGTGCTTTCCGACTTGCAAGATTCTGCCAAGGTAGCATGGCATAAAAAGTAGATTTAGCTCATTTAGGGATGTTTCCTGTCCGGTTCACCTAGCAGGGCTGACAGAAAATCTGTTAGGCCAGCGGTTTCCAAATCTTTTGGGCACCAGGGACCGGTTCCGTGGCGAGAGGTTTTTCCACAGACCGGAGGGGAGCGTGGTTTTGTGTGCTGCCTGCATCCCACAGAGGGGGCTTTGCTTGTTTTCATGGACCGGGTTTTGGCATGCCGTGGACCAGTGCCAGTCCACGGCCTGGGGATTGTGGACCCCTGTGTTAGGCGATCACTAGGAATTCAAAGTGACTTGATGGCACCTATTCAATCCATCAACCAATCGACTTTTCCGAAGTTTTGGATATTACAGGCAGTCCTTGACTTACAACCGTTCATTTAGTGACCGTTGGAACTTACAGTGGCACTGACTACAGTGACATACGACCGATTTTCACACTCAGGACCATTGCAGCATCCCCACAATCACGGGATCAAAATTCGGACACTTGGCAACTGACTCGCATTTGTGTGATCCGCTTTTGTGATCTTTGGACAAGCAAAGTCCATGGGGGGGGGAAGAAGCCAGATTCACTTAACAACCGTGTTATTAACTTAACAACCACAGTGATTCACTTAATAACGTGGCCCGAAGGTTGTAAAATGGGGCCAAATTCACTTAACAACTGTCTCACTAAACAACAGAATTGCGGTCATTAAGTAGAGGACTACGTGTAATTCCCTGGCCTGCAAGGCTTTAGAGGAGGGGTCCCCAACCTATGGGCTACAGCCCACCACCGGGCTTCAGGCTCAGACTGCAGAAATGGCTGGGCAGTGCACACACACATTTGTGGTGCACTCCTGCACTCGCGCTAGCGCCCGTGGCCCCATTGGCGCATGCACCTGGGCGCGAACGGGGCTGCTAGCGCCGTGCGGGTGTGCATGGCCCATTTGTACCATGCACGAATGGGGCTGCTAGTGCCACGCTAGTGTGCGTGGTCCCGCTTGCATGTGTGCATGCGCGCAAACCAATTTGGAATCTGCTCTCCTTCCCTCCGGTCCGCGAGGCTGGAAAGGTTGGAGACCTCTGCTTCAGAGCCTTCATCCAAGCCATCTCAAAGGGGAGCCGAGGGTCTTGACCTCCAAGTCCCCCAGCCCCACCGCTACCTTCATAAAGCGAGCCCCAGCCGACAATGTAGCAGAGTTCCTGGCTCGTCTCCGCGGCCTGGTCCGGGAGGCAGACGGGGGTCACCCAGGCCGAGGGCCGCACGGGAGCGGTCAGTTCCAACAAAGCCACATCCCCATGAAAGGTCTTTGGGTCGAACTATGGAAAGAGAAACGGGCTGTTGCAGTGGGGGGAAAGAGCATCAAGCAGCCATAGGGATTAGGGTTGGGGGTCTTCTGCAAACGGTGGGTAGGACCAGACCCCCAGACTCACCTTGGGGTGCGTCAGGATGCGGCTGACGGGCACCACCTGTTCGCCTTCATCCCGCCTGGTTAGATCATAGTTACCTAGGACCACCGACCAGGCCAGCTCGTTTCGGCTCCTACCAGCAGAAGAAAAACAATTGTGGTCATAAGTACGTGTCCAGGAATTGATTTAACAGCTAACCAGCTTATGTAAGATATAAGATGTCATGATAGGAATGACTCAGCAGGGTCTGAGTCTCTTTAAGAGCCTTAGTATAAAGAGAAGGCTCTGCTGATGTGTTCTCTCTCTCCTGTTTCCTGCTGTAACTGCTGTGAGTTGGATCCTGCTGTATTAACACGTGGATGTATATTGTTCCGGGTGTATGATATTGTAGATAATGTAAGCTAAACCACCATATAATATAGACCAGTGGTGGCGAACCTATGGCACACGTGCCAGAGGCGGCACTCAGAGCCCTCTCTGTGGGCATGCATGCCATGCCCCGGAGATGGCAACCGTCCCTCTTCAACCAGCTGCCCGCTAACTCGCCGAGGTCCCACGTGGCCGGATGCATCCCAGCACGGGTGGTTTCCCTCCCCTCCATCACATCCCTCCTGGCCTCACATGTTCTCCTTTTCCCGGGCACGACCCACTGCATCGCCTCCTCAGCTGTCGGCTATCCGTCCAGCTCAGAGGCGGCTTCTATGAACTGCTGGCGGTGGGCTGCGGAGCCCCAGAGTGCGCCGGTCGAGGGGCCAGCAGGCTGTGGCTGCTGATGGACACTGTCGGCTCCCATGCGCTCGCTGGCCTCTGTGTGCGGGGGCCGATGGTATCGGGCAGCAGCCGCCCCGGCCCCTGCCTCGCCTTGCCCTGCGACAATGGCACCCCCGCCCTGCCTTGCCTTGCCTCGCCTCACCCCGCAGGACGAGTCTCCTGCCCACCGCCCCACCTACCAGAGACCCCCTGGATTTCCCCCAACCCTGCCCGGCCCCCACAGGCATCCCTCCCCACAAGCAACATTGAGGTGACCACGCCCACCCAGTAGGCCACACCCACCTGGCACCCGGCGATAAATGAGTTTTGGGTTGCAGTTTGGGCACTCGGTCTCTAAAAGGTTCGCCATCACTGATATAGACCACTGTTTACTGTGTTTACTCCTGGGTCATCTCGGCGCAATAAGACTGTGCATGCTCTGACAGGGAGACTTTTGTGGACCCACCCTAAGCAGGGGTTGGACTGGATGACCTCCCTGATCTCTTCCATAGAGACGGGAACCCTTGGCCTTACCCAGTGAAGCAGTGGGCGGTTGTGACAATCCACACGCTCCCTACCAGCACCCCACTGCACATCAGCTCTCCGTTCAGCATCACCGACACCAGCCACGGCCAGGCACCCGGCTTCGCACGGCTACCCCCCACAATCTTCCCCTGTGCCAGCGTCACATTAGGGGCAGGGACCACACGGCGCCCACAGGATTCTGCAAACCGAGGCGAGAAAGGGTTAGAGTCCAGTAACCGGTTGAAGGATGTCAGAATCAACTCTCTAGTCCCCAAGCCGCACATTCACACAACCCATCGGACTGGGTGTCAGAATCCACCCAGGTTCTGGCCTTGCAGACTACAACCAGTAACTAATAGGGTTGAGTGAAGATTAGAGCAGTCTTTCCTAAGCTTAGCCGTTTTCAGATGTGTGGACTTCAATTCCCAGAATGCCCCAGCCAGCATTGCTGGCTGGGGCATTCTGGGAGTTGCAGTCCACACAACTTAAAGTAGTTCAGCTTGGGAAACACTGGATTAGAGGCTAAATCACCGAGGCACAAAGCAAAATATAAGCTCGGGCTCTGGTATGTATTTACGACGGTTGCCGTGTCCCAAGGTCATGTGATTCCCCTTTTGCGACCTTCGGATTCGTTTAATGACTGCACGATCCTCTTAAGAACTGCAGCCCTTCGCTTCACAATGAAAAGGTTCATAACATCAGGCCCGACTCACTCAACCACCGCTTTGCTTAGCGACGGAAATTCTGATCCCAATTTAGTTGTACGTCAAGGAGCACCTGGGCTCCAGGTCGGGAAAAGCTACATTAGAGTCTATTAAATAGCAGGCAGATGCTTTTATACAGGGCTCTGCAACCTTGGCAACTTTAAGCCTGGTGGACTTCAACTCCCAGAATTCCTCAGCCAGCCTCCTAGAACTAAGGAGAAACTTCCTGACAGTTAGAACAATTAACCAGTGGAACAACCTGCCTCCAGAAGCGGTGAATGCTCCAACACTGGAAGTTTTTAAGAAGAGACTGGACAGCCATTTGTCCGAAATGGGATAGGGTTTTCTGCCTGAGCAGGGGGTTGGACTAGATGACCTCCAAGGTCCCTTCCATCATCATCATCATCATCATCATCATCATCATTATTATTATTATCTCCAGATCCCAGCAAGGTTTAGGCAACAGATGACACGCAAGTAGTAGGCAGCTTTCTATATACAGGCAGTCCTGGAGTTATGACCACAAGGTGCCCCAAAATTTCCGTTGCTAAGTGAGACCGTTGTTTGTCCCATTTGACAGCTTTTCTTGGCACAGTCTGACACTGGGCACAAGTCTCCTTCCGCTCCCTCCTGTCAAGCTTAATCCCAATTAAGAGGGTGACTGGCCTGTCCCGTAAGGTCAGCGTTCAGCCTGGCGACCTTTTCAGACCCAACGCTGACCTTGCTCCTAAAACAAAAAACAGCAAAACTGGTGCACCAGCCCGGTCTGTTTCTCCAGATCCCCGCTGCGGGTCCGTTGCTGCGGAAGAGAACGGTTGCAATCACGCCGCCTGTGATACAACCACAGGTGCACAGAAGCAGAGGAACGAAGCAGGAATCTCCCTATGGCAGAGTCCTCGACTTACGACGGTTCACTTGGGGACCGTTCAAAGTTACGACAGCACTGAAAAAAGGGACCGGGTTTTTTTTCCGCAGCTACGAACATTTGCAGCATCCCCCGTAGTCACGCTGGGGGGATTGATTCCTATTTACGACAGCGGCCCTGCGCTGGGGTCACGGGATCAAAATTCAGGAGGTGGGCAACTGGTTCCTACTTACGACCGTTGCAGCATCCCAGGGTCACGTGATCAACTTTTGCGGCGTTCTCACGAGCAAAGTCTATGGGGAAGCCGGATTCACTTAACAACTGGGTTACTAAATCAGCGGTCCCCAACCTTTTGGGCACCAGGGACCGGTAACATGGAGAGGGGTTTTTCCGTGGACTGGAAGGTGCATGGTTTTGTGGGCTCTCCTCCATCCCGCGGATGGGGCTTTGCTTGTTTGTGTGGACCAGTTGCTGGCATGCCACGGCCCGTTACCGGTCCGTGGACTGGGGGTTGCGGATCCCTGTACTAAGTGATCAACTGCAGTGAGTCCCTTAGCAACGGTGGCAAGGAAGATCGTGAAACGGGGTAAAAAAAAAATCGCTTGACAAATGTCTCTCTTGACAAATGTCTCTCCACAATCTGGAGCTCAATTGTGGTCATAAGCCGAGGACTACCTGTACTCTGAGGACAGGTGTCTGAAATGGCATAGGGCAGGGGTGGGGAACCTTGGCTCTTTTATGACTTGTGGACTTCAACTCCCAGAATTCCTGAGCCAGCATGGGGGAACTATGGCCCCCTTTATGACTTGTGGACTTCAACTCCCAGAATTCCTGAGCCAGCATGGGGGAACTATGGTCCCTTCATGACTTGTGGACTTCAACTCCCAGAATTCCTGAGTCAGCATGGGGGAACTATGCCCCCCTTTATGACTTGTGGACTTCAATTCCCAGAATTCCTGAACCAGCATGGCTCAGCTTGGAAACCGCTCCCTTTCCCCTCAGCATGGCTGGCTCAGGAATTCTGGGAGTTGAAGTCCACAGTCATAAAAGAGCCAAGGTTGCCTACCCCTGGTATAGGGTTTCCTGCCTAAGCAGGGGGTTGGACTAGATGACCTCCAAAGTCCCTTCCAACTTTTTTTTTTATTATTATTATTATTATTATTATTGATCATCGCACAGTCAGCCAGATGTTCAGACTGGATTTGGATTTGGACCTATCGAGTCCTTCTCAAGGACCTGGGATAGGCAGATGTGGATGTTTGATGGTATTACAGATCTCGTTGCAGGATGGAAGCGGTTCCTAGTAAGGCCGCCTTTTGCAATTGACTGATGGCAAATTTGTCAATGCCGATGATGGTGTTCAAGTGGTTCTCCAGTTGTTTTGGGATTGCACCCAAGGCGCCTATTACTATTGGTACTACCCTTGTTGTTGTTGTTATTCTATTATTATTATTATTATTATTATTATTATTATTATTATTATTATTATTATTATTATTATTTTCATTAGATGTGAACCTCAGTCAACTGAACATTCAAATTGACTGGCGCTGATGGTTGACACGGGTTGTTATCATCATCATCATCATCATCATCATCATCATCGCCAATCTGCTCAAGGTTGCACCCTAACCTGGAAGAGACTGATCAGCCACAACATTCGGAGCGCCCTCCTCGTTTTCCAGCTCTGCAAATGAATTAGAAAATGACAGTTAAAATCAACAAAGTCCCTTTACAGCCATCAGACGCAGCCAGCTTTTAATTCTGGGACAAGAATGCACAAACAGCCATTTTTGTCTACAGGTACCCTTCCTTTAGTGACTGAAGTCACAACGGGCCTGAAAAATGTGACTTGTGACCGTTTTGCACACTTTTGCAGCATTCCCCCCTCCCCCGTGGTCACGGGATCGAAATTCAGACACTTGGCAACTGACTCATATTTACGACGGTTGCCACTTCTGCGACCTTCTCGCAAGCAAAGTTAATGTGGGAAGCCCGATTCACTTAACAACCGTCTGACTAACTTAACAACTGCAGCGATTCACTTAAGGACGGTGGCAAGGGAGGTCGTAAAATGGGGCAAAATTCACTTAACAACCATCTTGCTTAGCAATAGAAATTTTGGGCTCCCTTGTGGTCGTAAGTCGAGGACTCTCTGTGTATCGTCCAAATTCAGGATCAAGATTTTGCGTGGCTCTTTTTATCATGAATGGCACATGAAAAATGAACCAGAATTCTTTTTTTTTCTTTTTTTCTTTTATATATGTGTGTGTGTGTGTGTTTGTGTGTGTGTGTGTGTGTGTCTGTGTATGTGTGTGTATATATGTACATGCATATGTATGTATGTATGTATATATATATATGTAAATTTAGATTTTGTTGACAAAGAGTTAAAGGGAGACAAGTATAGCTATTTCAAGCTATTTAGCTCTCATCAGCTAGCTATACTAGTCTCCCTTTAACTCTTTGTCAGCAAAAACTCTTTGTCAGCTAAATTTACAGAAATAGTTTATTCACATATTTAACAATGATTAATAGTAATTCATTGCTATAATTCCATAGTTAACGTATCATAGGAATACACTTCCTTGATCCTCTCTCCTTCCAGTAAAATTCTAATTTTGTACGTGCCGATAGTATCAAGAACTGTATTTGCTTAATGTGGGCAGAATTTTTTTTTTCAAAGAGGGTTTCAGGGCATCTGAGGGCTGAAAGAGCGTCTATTTCTGAGGTTTAAGGAAAGAAAAATACGTAAATTAGGAACTCCACATTTCCCATCCATTTTCCCCTTGCCTGGCCTTGGGGGACCCCAAAAGTAACGTGAGTAGCTTCCGTGTGTGTCGGGGGCTCAGTCCATCCACGGGGAAACCCACAGAAGACATAAGGGTATCATATATATATGACATCACCCGGACAATTTAATCTGAACAATTTGTATCGCCTGTGTCATGTCACAAGTGACGTGTTGTCATTGCCCATCCTAGGGATGTTTATGTGATCCATCTGTACTTTGATCACTGGGGAGTCCACTTTGCTGGCTGATTCAAGGGGGATGGGAGGAGGGCCTTGCACTGACCCCCTTGGACAACCAGGGGGTTAAGGAAACAGCGCAAAGAAAGGGGAAGGAAGATGTTGCACACACAAAAGGATCTCTGGGACCAGATCCTGCCTGCTCAGCGTGCAAATCTCAGCAGGAACACTGAGGTTTTAGAGGGGGGGGCTCCTACGCTTGGGGCAGCCAGCCACGGAAAAGCAGGACGGCTGGCACTGTCCCTTTGGGCTCTCTGAAAAGCCGCAAAATTGGAACTGGGTCAGAAAGTCTCGGGCTACAATGGCGTCATCAGAACGCTGAACATCCCTGCGCCTGCTGTGAGCCGGACAGGGACCGGAT